TGCACACCGAAGCCCAGGAGACGCGGGCGGAGCACGCCCGCACAAAGATGCTAGAGCTGGGCTACGACCCGAGCAGCTTCTGGGAGCAGCGGATCGTGTGGGGTGACCACGACGCATTCCAGTCAGTCAACCCCTGACCTGTCCGTTTGTATCATCTGAACACGAGCCATCCAGACACGTGAACAACGTGCGCTACGGTACGTTCGATGCGTAGACGAAGCAGCACGTCAGCTGATAGGTATCCGGATCAGTGCGCTTCCTCGAGTCGTCCCGGATTGAGTGGATGGTCTCCCTAGGCAAAGAAATCGGCGGCGCCTCCCGAGCGGACGACATGCTCGCCGGGCGCGGCATCTCGCTCATCCTCAAGACCATCTCCATCGACTACAAGCGGCCCGTCGTCTACCCCGACATGCTCCTCATCGCGCACAAGCCACATCCCGGCCCGCTCGTCTCGACCTCGGACGTGCACAAGACGGAGTTCGGCCAGTGCCGCTTCCCCAAGACCCACTTCCACCTCATGGACGCGATCTACTCGTACGCGCAGCGCCGCATCGTGACGGAGTGCGACGAGGTGCTGGTGTGGTATGATTACGAGAAGCTGGCAAAGTGTGACCCTGGTGAGGAGGCTAGGGCGGCGTTGCAGCGCAGGATGTTCTTGACGCAGGAGCCGAATGCATATGAGTAAAGGTAAACCCCATGGGTTTCGTTACCTCTATCATATTCAGGCATCTAAAGCTTCATTGTAATCTCACTGAACTGCTTCTTTGTATCTGATCCCGAGAAGAACAATAAATAACCCATGACCCCAAGCCACCAGAAGAGATAGAACACAGCACCCAAGCTCCTTCTGTAGAAACGTCAACTTAATTTGCCGTCCTCAGCATCCCATCGTCAACCCACCATACGGACCATCATGGTCCGACTCGTCACCATCCCATATGTCCGGCACATCCCCGACGATACACTGCGTGCTCGGGTTGTCCTGGCCAGGGCACGACGCCCACTCGCCCGAGTCCTCAATGTGCACCTCGCCCGACGGGTGCA